GAATATGGAGGTCTCGAGTTCAAATCTCGCTTATCACATTTAGGATTTTTTCAGGTTTGGTCTCTTTCAATAGAGTTCTCATCGGTTGATCAACAAGCTAAATCAGACTTTCAGAAATTAATTCGAGTGAAATCTCGAATTAACTTCCCTCCGATAGGCGATACTGATTTTCTTTTTTTTTTTTTTTAGTAATTCCACTTGGATTCTAGGTGACAGATCTGATCTGCGTTTGGTAACAATCTGTCGGCGCTTCTAACGATTTAGTCTGTATGTGCTACTGTTTTGTTGACAGTTCTGGTAACAGATCTGATGTGTATTTGGCGCGATTTTAGCGCCAACAAACGATCACCAAATCTGTTCTAGGTGCGTCACTTTGGCTTTGCTTTGCTAGTGGCAGAACTGTTATGATTTTGGTCTCATTTTGACATTTCACATGTTTGACAAATATGGTCGCCAAACCATATCCTAATGAGAACACAGATGAATATAGATTTGGTCTATAAATTTCGCCGGTGGTTGGCGACAAAACCGCGACATCTCGCAACCAAATTGTTTGCTGGGTTACGTTATTTTCGGAAAAAATGGCGTCGTAGTTTGAAACAAAAAGAATTGAAATGCTTATAATTTATGATGAAGCTGGAAGGAATTCTGTACAAGCTGTCCAATTATACGCAGAGAAACACCTTGAAAGAAATAATCTTTCTCGACAAAGTTTTGACCGCATAGTGACGTTATGTTGCCAAACAGGAACAATCAAAGTCTGTTACTGGAGAAAAAGCAGTAGCATTTGTTACGATAAAGTTTTTATCGATAATTCCCTTATCGTAGTTATTTCATTAATTACTTTTTTGTACAGTTTTCCTAAATTTTTTAGACTCGAAGTCACGTGAAAGTTATGGTATTGTAGCTTGTTGGATTTGTCTTGATCTTGCCGATAATATCGCGCGGATGAAAATATATACTCTCTGATAAAAAAAACAATGACCTTGAAATCTTAAAAAATATGACCTTGAAAAAGAATTTCTTGGTCATTACTGCATTTATCTCTTCGAAATGAATAATGACCCTTTTCGGCACTCTCCTATCATAAAAAATAAGATATTTAAATAAAAAGAATTAAGGAAATGGCAATAACAAGCTAACATCAAATGTTCGGGTACAATTCTCTTATACTTCTAAAATTGTAAAAAAGTTTTAACAAACGTTTCGATTCACTATGGGATCTTTTTCAGTGTTTTAATAAAAACTAACAAAAATAATCCATTCAAGATTATGAAGATTATGGATAAGAAAAGATACGCTACATGGATATTCGGTATGAGAAAAAGAGAGGCGGAAATGGCAGTCACGTAATCATCAGTATTACGCAACAGGACGCAAATCGTTCTCCCGCTTCGAATGTAACGACAGACTGAGCGGCCTCCTCCACACTCAAGATACATGTAACGGTCTTTACTCATGTAAGAAGGTCTTTACTATAAACTAACCCATTTTATTACTTGATAGTGGGCACCCCCGTAGGGGGAAGCCAGCCCCTCGCAGGGAGGCCTGCTCCACGCGTATACTTTCTACGCGAAGCAAGGTTCAATGCAACTTATGTGTTTAGTTTTTTACGATAATATACGATACTGTACAAATAGAGAATATCAAAACAATATATGATATTTGGAACACCGAAACAAAACAGTGAGCATTGTGTTGTATACTAAATGTATTTGTGTGTAATACATATATTAGGAAAATATACATTCATACATTTATTTGTGAAATGTATACGGTGTCATAAAACGATAGTTTACTGATGAAACTTTTTTGTTTGTAACTTTTTAATAAACAACGAGCAACAGCTAAGATTTTTTTATTGTTATTCATGATGATAAACTTTATAATATATGTCAAGATCAAGGCAATCGAAAAGGGAACCCCTATTTGGTACATTTACCAAATAGGGTTACGTTTACCATACAAAAAAACAAGTTGATCTTGAAATGACTTTAAAAACTCCTACGCATTAAAAATCGAATAGTATCAGTTGACTCCTCACTCAAAATACTAAAAGACATGTCAGCTTATTTATTTTTTTAATCAGTTGTCTCTGAGATTGTTTACTTTGTCAAATTAAATGAGACATTCTTGATGTGTAAAGTGGGCAACACCGAACAGGTTGCAGGATAATTTTGCATTGGTTAAAATGATTAAAACAGTTGATTCTTAACGTTTTGACTATATTTTCGAGTCTTCTTTAGTGAGACTCTGAATTTATGATATAAGTATTACAAGCTTTAAAGATGACAAGTTTTAGAGATAAAACGTGCTGCGAAATGTTGAAGATACAAAATTGTTATTAAGTTACACAAGAGAAAAACGCACCTTGATATGACTCACAACCACATTGTGTTCCAACCATAGACATATAAGAAATAGACTGCGCGTTCCTTATCTTCTCTGTGGAGAAGGAATGGTCCAACCTCAGACAAGGATAGATGCTTTTACTCATGCCTCTATCCTTGTTTAGTGACGCGGTGATTGGCGGACAAGAAAAGTAGTAGGAATGAAAAATAGCGTAGTGGGGCGATAGAGGAGCATCGAGTGATAAACGGGCGATAGAGGAGCATCGAGCGATAAAGGGGCGACAGTAGGCGATTGACAGTCAATAAATAGTTATAGTGTAGGTTATAGTGTAGGTTAATGTCAATCCGTTATTATTTATTAAAAATCAATAATAAATTTGAAAAAATAATTAAGTGTAAGAATTAAAGTTATTATAAAAAGAAGAAAGAAATAGAAGAAGATATATAATGATTAAAGAGAAGATATATAACAATACAGATTATAGAATTAAATTTAACCAATTTTATTGATTTTTATGTGTAATCAGGTTAGTAAATTTACTTCGTATGCGATCAGTCTTAACGTTCCGTGAAGTAGCATAATGATGTAAACGAAGAATGAAAAATTTTTCTAATAAAAGTCGAATTATTTGAGTTTTATGATCCATTAACGAAGCTTGATCAAAAGCATGTTCTGATTTAACAAATAGTTCATTAATTTTTAAATCATATAGTGCTAGTAACTTGAAGAATAATAACAAAAAATACAAAAATTAACAGAAGTGTTACAGAACCGGTTCCTAATCAAAGTCGTTACATAGCATCTGTAGTTATGTAGCGTTATCTGACAATGAGTTGTCTCCCGAGTGGGGAAATCTCCACTCCAGATGCTGAAAGACAGAGACAGAGGCACGAATGAAAGCATCTGTCTTGCTCTGTAGTTGGACTAATTTCCCCTCTCACACGCGCAGTCTATTTCTTATGTCTATGGTTCCAACGATAAAAAAAAGTCAAAAATAATCAAATAGTTAAGAAGTTGGTAAAAAAAAATCGTTGAAACTAAGAATGGGTTAAAAGTCAAATCGTATAAATAAGTAAACAACAGTTATAAAGTTCCGTTTATATAAAATTTGTGACAAACGTTAATGTGCTAATTTATCTAATATCAGTAAATATATATTGTTTAAAATGTCTGTGTCTTCCATGATGTTGAGACCATTTTTTTGTAATTTAATATGTAACATTTTGGATGTTAGTCTCTTATAATTAATTTTGCAGTCTATACAATTGTTGACAGAGCGATACTCTTATCGGACTCTATATATCACCAAAAAATGTTACAACTTTGCATACAAATACTCATTAACAACAATTACCCACTAGATGTAAATATTTAACACAATAAAAAAGGAAGCTGAGACAGTTGTTTACCAAATTACATTACCCAGGTAAATTACAAAATTGTGATGACAATATAAATAACAAACCTACAAAATACTTTGTCATCCCATATATACCCAAATTATTTGACTAAAACAACAACATACACATATTTAATTTTAACAATAATAACACAGACTAGCATATAAAAATTAAAAACCAGTCGAGAAAATATATTAAAATTCACAGGGATAACATACCAATCCACAAATAAAAAAATGTAAGTTATCATATCCAATGCGACTCATGTGACGCGATTTACGTCGGTCAAACAAAGAGACAGTTAAATACCAGGCTAAAAGAAAACCAATATTATATTAAAAATAATCAGAATTCGGTCATCGCACAACACAGTTTAACTACAAAACACAACTTCAAATTGGACTCAGTCCGCATATTAGACTGCAAAATTAATTATAAAAGACTAACATCCGAAATGTTACATATTAAATTACAAAAAAATTGTCTCAACATCATGGAAGACACAGACATTTTAGACAATGTATATTTACCGATACTAGATAAATTAGCACATTAAATTTTGTCACAAGTTTTATATAGACGGAACTTTATAACTGTTGTTTACTTATTTATATGATTTGACTTTCAATCCATCCTTAGTTTCAACGATTCTTTTGACCAACTTCTTAACTATTTGATTATTTTTGACTTTCTTTTTTATCGTTGGAACACAATGTGGTTGTGAGTCATATCAAGGTGCGTTTTTCTCTTGTGTAACTTAATAACAATTTTGTATCTTAAACATCTCGCAGCACGCTTTATCTCTAAAACTTGTCATCTTTAAAGTTTGTAATACTTATATCATAAATTCAGAGTTCCACTAAAGAAAACTCGAAAATATAGTCAAAACGTTAAGAATTAACTGTTTTAATCATTTTAACCAATGCAAAATTATCCTGCAACCTGTTCGGTGTTGCCCACTACCTCACAAATCGAAAATTTTTAACACTGTACCGAGGATTTTCTTCTTTAATAATTACTATTTTAAATAGAACTCCCTATAGATACAATACATAGATGAAAGTAGTAGAGGAAGCTCTTTTCTCACAAAAAAGGTCTTACAAATTACAGAGTGCGTTAATTACGAAGACTCGAATGTATAGATTACATTAAAAATTAAAAATACAAGTCTTTCTTAATTTAAGTGATTTAAAGTTGCAAAATCATAAAGATATATATTTGGTAAACATGGTATGTTTTGGATAATAGAAAACGAATGCAAATCTGCGCAATTTCGTACAAGTAATCCTTTGTCGAGTGATGATGCTATTGGTACATGTTTATTGTCAAAGTTCGAGAGAAGTGTCAAACCGCAAGCTTATAGATCATCGATGTATCGAGACGAATATCTGCAAGATCAGTGCCATAATATGTGTAAGTCAATAAACATAACTGAAATGTTTTTTATGATAGTAAATCAAATGAAATTCAAATTAAAATTTATGTTATACAGCAAAAAAAAATTATTGTTCTTATACGGAATTTCGGAACATGACACTACCATATTCGGATATAGCGTTGCTGGGACTCGATATCAAACATGTAATTTATATTTTCTGCAGAAATTTGTTTTCTTTTTTCTGTAAAAATTCCCTTATTTACTTGAAATATGTTTAGTGCGAGGAAAGATGTGACAGTAACCAGGATGGCTTTATATGTAGAGCCTATACCATTGATTATTTGGAAAACAAACCACTATGCTTACTGCATTCTGATAACACAATTGGTCTTGGTGTCAGTTCGCTAATTGTTAAACCTAATGTTACTTACAAGGAACAAGAAGCTTGCTTAGATTGTACGTTTACAACAGACACAAACTGTTTTACAAATCTCTCTTTCATATAGCGCTTCTTATGTTACACTGGATGTTATTATTGTTATACAGTGAAAGTACAATGTAGCGAGTCAGTCTTAACAATCACTTTAATTACTATGGAACCTTTTGTGGGACGAATATACGTGAGTGGATATGAGGAAACCTGCGGTGTTGATGGTGTGAGAAAAAATGTGACAATATTGAAAATACCACTGTCAAGAAGAGGAAAATATGACATGGAATGTGGATTAATATCCGCGTTTTCCTTCGACAACAAAAATCGGTATTTCATTTTCTAAAATATTATATAGAAAAGAATACATATAACTATTATAAGGAAGTTCTTATGTACAGAACACATACGCTAGTTTGGACCACTATTGTGATACAGTATAATCCAATTATTCAGCGATTAGGAGATCAGTCAGTAAAAGTCGGATGTTCATTAGAAGACCGCAATCTTCCGGAACCAAAAAACATATCCGTTCATTCGAGCTATGGATTCTTAGATCCAAAGTGAGTCCATCTTTTACATATCTAGATATTTACACACTCTCTTTTACAGTGATATATATTAGTACAAAGCATCTCCTATAAAATTATATCGTGTGCACAAAAGCGAGAGAAAGAAAGAGAGAGAAAGAAAGAGAGAGAGAGAGAGAGAGAGAGAGAGAGAGAGAGAGAGAGAGAGAGAGAGAGAGAGAGAGAGAGAGNGAGAGAGAGAGAGAGAGAGAGAGAGAGAGAGAGAGAAAGAGAGAGAGAAAGAGAGAGAGAGAGAGAAAGAGAGAGAGAGAGAAAGAGAGAAGGAGAGAAGGAAACAATTTCTTTATTTGATCAAATATCTACGACATTTCGGTTCTGATTACTCTTTTTAGCGCAGGCGTACCTCCGGTTGCATCGACCATACTAAATGCATCATCAAAAGCACCGATAGTAACAATGAGAATTCTTAATGAAGAACATATGGACGCAGTTGTCACTCAATTAGGACAAAAGCTAACACTCAGAATTGAAATCCAACCCGTCGATGGTGAGTCATTCATCACCTCATAGTGAATATGTCATGTTCTGTTCTCTTTCTTTTTTTAATTCTTTGATCATAAAATGAGTAAACCTTGACAATAACAGTTTCAGTTCTGATTATCTTGACTTTCACATATATTGTCAAAGACATATTCCTGAGTAACAATCAAAAGGTTTTAGCTGCCGCTCATTGTTTATTAAAGTTATTAACAAAAAAAGTTTCAGAAATAAACCTTTGTTTTTCGATATCATGTCCATTTGAGAAGTAAATATTTCGTTTGTATCATACATTATTGTACACGTGTGACAGGGATATAATTTTCTGACACCTTGCTTTGTGTTGTAAAGTATATGCATAGAAGCAGTGTTCGGCCCTATTAAGAGCCGTCTACAATGGAGAGTTGTAGGCCGTAACAGTAAGAAATTGACAAATCACAATCGATTATTCTTCTGTACTTTGTCTGTGATCGGTCAATTTCTTACTTTTACGGCCTACAACTCTCCATTGTAGACGACTCTTTACGGGGAGGCTCCATCAAAAAAGACACATAGGTTTGGATTAAACTTGGCTTATGTAGAAGGTTTTAAACCTGTAAGCTTCAGAGACGCACTTGTTCGAAGTCAAATAAAGAACACCACTTATAGAAAGCAAAAGATAGATATATATGTTATAGATGAAAGTACATGGGATGTCGAAAACAAAAAATGCGTAATGTCGTAATATAAACCTCTCCGTTTACATCTCTTTTCGTGTAACTAACTAAATGCCGCGCAATCGCTTCGCTTCAGCTTATCACCTCTCACCGCCTAAAGAGCCGTCTACAATGGAGAGTTGTAGGCTGTAATAGTAAGAAATTGACCAATCACAGACTAAGTACAGAAGAATAATCGATTGTGATTTGTCAATTTCTTACTGTTACGGCCTACAACTCTCTATTGTAGACGACCCTTAAAGAGCCGTCTACAATGGAGAGTTGTAGGCCGTAATAGTAAGAAATTGACCAATCACAGACAAAGTACAGAAGAATAATCGATTGTGATTTGTCAATTTCTTACTGTTATGGCCTACAACTCTCCATTGTAGACGGCTCTTAACGCGCACGCGCGCATTACAGCGCTACTCCTGCTAACGCACTCCGCTACCCAGGTAGCAAGCTCACGTGATAATGACGTCAGTTTTTGGTCTGCAAAACGTCAATTATGACATAACAATGACGTGATTTTAACGTACATATCACGTGATTATGTCACATCTTATTGACATCATTATATTACGTCAAGAGACGTGAATATAATCAAAAAAGTCTCACCAATATAACATGGTAAAGACGTTATTGTAAATTTAAAAGGAAAATAAAATATAACACTTAACTAAAGAACAATAGTATCAACATCCCACATATCACGTAATATTACTGCATTATACAGTAATAAAATGACCGCCGAAATACACCGCAGTAATATTACGGTGATATATAAAAAGAAAAAAACGCTTTATAGAAACAAAATTAATTCGAAATTTCACTTAAATTAATTTTTGGAGATCTGATTCAGTTTGTCAATCAACTGATTAACTCGATGAAAGATACCGGGCCTAGAAAAAATTCTAAGGTGATAGTGGGATTTGAACTCTATATTCGCAGCCCTTGCACTCAGTCCGCTAAACCACTTGTTCCTTACTATAATGTAATTATTTTTGGCTCTTATGACCGAAGATTTCATATTTGTAATTATTTTTCTTTACTTATTCTCAAACTATTCTATACATTTCATTTATTATTTAATAAAGTAAATATGCATAAAAACGGAGCACCTTCGGAGGTCATTGTCCTTGACATATGTTGTCAAAGACACCTCCCTAAACAACAATCTGAAGGTTTTAGCCGTCGCTCGTTGTTTGTTCAAAAATTATAAACAAGAAAAGAAATTGCGTCAATAAACTGTTATTTTCCGACACCGTGTTTTGTTTGTGTTGTAAGCGTGTAGGCAGGGGGGCTGCGCCCTCCCACAGGGAGAGGGGCTTTGCCTCTACCTCTTGTTCCCCCCTCACGAAAAAATAAAGAATTCAATTAAGTGTCAAGTAAAGAATTCAATTAATGTTGTACCGATGTCCCGAAACGTGGAATATTACTTTACATATCTCGCCAAATTCTTTCGATGTTTTACGTGCGACAATTAGTATGAGAATCTACGAAATTTTCTTTGTGATTTACCATATGAGTGTAACCGGTGAGTGTAACCGTGCATATTGATGTTATATGCCTTCATTTTTTTGTGAAGGGAGAACGGGGAAGGGACAAAGCCCCTCCCCCTGCGGGGGGTGCAGCCCCCGTGCCTACACGCTTACAACACAACAAAATGTACACAGTGTCGGAAAAAAAGAGTTCATTTATATTTCTTTTGTTTATAATTTTTTAACAAACAACGACCGACGGCTAAAAGTTGCAGATTGTTGTTCAAGAAGGTGTCCTTGACAACATATGTCAAGGACAATGATCTCCGAGGGTGCTCCGTTTTTATGCATATTTACTTTTAATAATAAGAAATATTTAATAATAATTGTTCTTCTTATAAAATTTAACTACAATAAACTTTAGTTATCATTGAATATATATTTATTATATATTATGTTATTTTTAATAAATTTAATAAAAGGTAATCAGTTTACCAAAGTGTACGTGGCTACTTATTTATAAATAAATGGCTATACTTATCTATAAATAATGTATTTAAATATATAATTTTATTCAAAAAAACAAATGTTATTAATAAACATATTGTTATAATTAACGGTTGAATTTAACTCAAGGTTGTTGTTAGAACTTCATTTAATCGTTTTATTAATGTCACATTGAAATTCAATACATAAGTTGATATATGACGTCAACGCGACATCTAAATGACGTCATATCGGCAACGTCAACTTTTAGTATTGTAAATGACGTGAAAATAACATACCATTTATGTTACTTAACGTCGTAGTCATCAAAATCACTTCATAATCACGTCATTATCACGTAAGCTTGCTTGCTGAGTACTTCTGGCTCGCCACTAGTATGGCGCCAATTATATATAGCTTAATTCTTAAAAACTCATATAAAATCTCGCTTTATGTTGTGTAAAAATAAAGGAACAAACACTATCTTCACGCATATACGTTACAACGCGCAAAACGAGGTTCATCCAAAATATGTGTTTAATTTTTTGGTAGTGGGATTGCTTCTGAGTGGACAGAAGAAAAAGCTGCTCAGTGACGTCTCGAGCGACTCTTTCCCTGAGAGGCTCTAGTAGAACCTTTCTGTAGAAAGGGAAGGTGAACAAAGGGAAAAGGTGAGAAAGCTTATAACTTTCCATGCAAAGCAAAATATATCAGAAAATTACGTTCTATTTATTAAATTTATTTTGTTAATAACTTTCAAGAAACACTGAGCAACAACTAAAACCTTTTGGGTGTTACTCAGAGTCATGATCTTGACAACATACGTAAAAATCAAGATCATCGGAACTGAATTCGTTATTGTCAAGGATCCCTAGATTTATAAAATTTTTAAGAATTCAGATTCAAAAACGTAACCATATACAGGGTTAGTTAAAGTGTAAAAAACGTGTATCTCAGAAACACAGCAATTTACAGAACAATGTTTTATACAAAAGTTGTTTGATTTCGAGGGATGCATAAGATGGTATCATTGGTTTAATCTTGAATAGTCGTTTAAAGGTCACGTGAAGGTTATCCTTAATTGTTTAAGTGGGAATCCCAATTTTGCATTAGAGATTTCCAAATAGAGATAGCCAATTCTGTCAAAGCAGATTTTGCCAAATGCTTATTACAAATTTTGTTAGCAAAACGACTTCAAATATAATGCAGAGTTTGTTGTGTTGTATAACGATGTCGCAAAATTGCTAGCAGAAATATATCCAAGCTTGTTGACAAAACATAACAACAAATTGCTGACAAACAATTGCTGAGCAAAGGTTGATAACATAACTTGAAACCACATATTGACGTCACATATAAAGCAACTTCTGTGCGACACAATTTGACAGCAAAATGAAAACAAAAATCAAGCAAAAAAAATCTATAAAGAATCATTTACATATACCCAAAATTTATTTCTACTAATTATATATATAGGATGTTCCGCAAATACCGTATTTTCTTTTACCAGTAGATTCTCGAGATCATTCTAAAACAAAAATCCTAATACCAAAATGTTGAAGCTATAATATTTTTTTGAGTTAAAAGCATTCACAAAGATAAATCAGATCGCTGAAATTCGCGCGCTCAGGTGCGGTACAATGCTAAAGGCGCAAACAGTGCCGCCTCTCTTTTGTCAATAAAGCGTATAAGTAGTATGTGTCCGATATGGCGCAATCTTCGGTTGCGGGAGTGGGGGATGCCATATCGTTTACGAGTGGAGGGGGTATCGATGAGGGTAAAGCGAAAATCTTCGAATAGTGGGGACGATGCAAGAAGGGGAATAATATAAAAAATTATTAAAAAATTTAATTATTTATAAATAATTTTTATTCGCTATAGCTTATGCAGGTTACGCACGCCAGTAAGTATCCTACATAGATCTTAACGTAGAAAATCTTGAAAAACCTGGAAAAAATCTTTACGCAATATGTGGAGATTCGAACCCTGGTCCTTGGTGTTTCAGCACTCATACCTAAGCTGGTAAGCTAAATCAGCAAACGTGAAATATAATCGCACGTAATAGTATATGTAACAGGCGCAGGGAACTTAGGTTGTAGCCGACATAAAAACTCGCAATAGTACAGAAGTTTGTAAGTGTGTTGGTGGGAAGTGAGAACGCCTACGCCCAAGGCTAGTCACGCTACTCAACCTATTGGAAATAAGGAGATAGTTTAGACGAAATGCATAGTACAGAGCACTCTTAACGTTTCCTGTTTTTGAACTGGCTGTCCGATATGGCGCCCCCCACGCGTTACTATTTGGGGCCGGACGGCCGATACAGCATCCTCCACACGTTGCTATTTTTTTAGTGTGTTTATTATGGCGCTCTTTACTCCCTCGATATTCTTATAGAAAAACTAGTTTAACACGTCTATTTTAACGACTAGAGTAAGATATGTCTGCTAACGGTCAGCGCTCCATCTACGCAAAACTAACAAGAAGTGGGCACGAATTGCGAAATACGAAATTGAATGAGCCATAGTTCATTCGAAAGAGAAAGTCGAGGGTATAAAAAGTGTAAGAGGGTTTGAGTGCATGGGTCTTAGTTTACGAGAATTTTGCATGCAAAGTTAAGCGTCCGGCCAGCTGTATGTTAAGTAACATAAATAAGTTAGACTTAGCGTGAAGTGTCGTGGCTGCGCCTAAGGCGCGCGCTCTATAATTTTTGGCGTCCGTTGCGAGTGCGAAACCTCGCAGTGCCAACTTTTTTTTCATTCTAACGACTATATCTATCAACTGAAATAATTGTTCTTATTTTTTAGAATAAAATATTAAGAACGACGCAATTAATTAATTATATATAATAACGACGCAATTAATTAATTATATATAATAAAAACAAAAACGGGAATTTCTGTACTTCTTTATGTTTATTCATCGTGTTTTTATTTATTATAAAATTCGGACATTGCTGTACAATGTTGTGGATGGAAATTAACATGAAAACATTGGAAACATAAATGGATTGCACCAACTGTACGTGGGCAACAATCCATTTTTGTTAATTGTTAATTCCTGGAGAGGTCAAAAAAATATAAATATGTACAGGGTGCGTCGCCAAAATCCGGACAAATTTCAATTTGATATTTCCTCCGTTCAGTACCATTGGCAGATGTCGCGATTGGCATTCAAATAGCTTGACGCATGTACTAAACTACCATAACTTCGAAACAGTCGCAATGTTGAAACCCAGTGCGGAGTACAACC